GTATATTCATGTATTGTATAATATATAACATATGTACATATGTAATATATGTATAAACACATGGACATATGTGTGTGTGCATGCGCTCATGCATGTGTGTATGTGTTCATGTGTGTGTGTATGTATTACAAACAAGGTAGGACTATAGTCTCCATCTGTTTCCAGGGTACCAGAGGATGTATGGATAGACATATAGATGGGCAGATGACTGATGGATGGAGACACACACACACACACACATACACACACACATATGTGAGATGCATAGACTCTTGAATATTATTTGGATGGGTTAGATAGATGACAGATAAATGGATATATGAATACGTAGATGGTAAATAGGTAGACAATTGTCACATGGATATTTGAATAGATTAGATAGATGACTGGTGACTGTCTTAGGGTTTTTATTGCTATGATGAAACACCATGACTAAAAGCAAGCTGGGAAGGAAAGGGTTTACTTGGCCTACACTTCCATATCCCTGTTCATCACAGAAGGAAGTTAAGACAGGAACTGAGACAGGGATGGAGCTTGAAGGCAGAGCTGATACAGAGACCATGGAGGAGTGCGGCTTACTGGCTTGCTCCCCATGGCTTGTTCAGTCTGCTTTCTTATAGAGCCCAGGACCACAAAGGGCTGGGTTTCCCCCCGCCCCACCCCACTGACCACTAATTAAGAAAATGCCTTACAGCTGGACCTTATGGAAACATTTTCTCAATTGAGGCTACTACCTCCTCTATGATGACTCTAGCTTGTGTTAAACTGACATAAAACCAGCCAGTACAGTGGTGGATGGTCAACAGATGGAAGGAAGGATGGATGGACAGAAGGAATGGAAGCCCAGGAAGCATAAAAATCCTGTGAAGAACTTAATGAATAACAAAATGATGGGTCTTGTCTCAGAAATTCCAGTTCAGTAGCTTTAGACTGACACCTAGGATTTGATATTTTAAAAGCATATTAAACAATGCTATTATACCGAAACTGGTTCGAGGACCACACCTTGTCATCAAAGAGCATGTACAAACAGTCTCATGTACAAACAGTCTCAGTCAAGGTCGAAGCTGAGTGTCTCTCCCAGACTCCAGCTCAGGATGCTTCGGTGGTGAGAGGGACAGGGCATGCTGTCATTTGGTTCTCCAGCCCTAGGCTCAGAGGACAATTCCTATTCCCATGCTCTGCAGAGAGTGTGGTCACAGGCCCATCACCAGAACAGAGGACTCTGTGGCCTCAGGCTGGGTGAGACTCCTCTGCTAGCCACACAGCAGGTTTCAGGCAGTGTCTTGAGCAATGGGCTCACTCGAGCCCAGTTGTGCCTCCACAACCTTCTGACTGGCCAGCTGCCCTGGGCTCTATTTTTAGTCTGTCTCCAGTGACATTGAAGGATCAGGAGCTCCTCTCCCAAGGGGCTGGGGACATGTGCATTGTCACCAGTGCCTACTAGGTCAAGAACCCAACCTCCCTGACAGCTTCAGTTGTCACAAAAGATCCTGCGCTGGTCCTTCTAGCCCTCCTCGGGCAGCCCCCAACCACCTTCCCTCACTGAGGGGCCCTCAGGCTCTGACCCCTGGAAGTCTACCAAAGTGCTTCATCTTGTTGGCATGCCTGGCTACTTCCCATGAGTTTTTGTTCCTGGTATTTTAATAGCTTCTCAGTTCAGACCCCCAAAGAAGGCTCCAAGACATCAACTTAGGTCCTGGTGAATAGTTTAAGTTATTAAACAGCATTAGCAAAAGAGTAAGGAAGAAGTTTCTGGAAGCCAGACAGGTCATGAGGATAGGCTAACAAGCGAAGCAACAGCTCCCTGCTGGGTTCTCCTGAAATGTTTCTGTGCAGACGCATCAGAACTGTCCCCCCAATGACACCTTACTTGGTGGAAATCTGTCCTTTCTGCCCTGTGGTGGTTCAGATGAGAAGGGCCCTCATGGGCTCAAATATCTCAATATCCAAAATTCCCCAGTTAGTGAAACTACTTAGGAAAGATTAGGAGGTGACTTTATGGAAATGTTTCAAAAGCCCATGCCATTCCCAGTTAGTGACACTGCCCCCCGCCCCCCCCCCCAGCCCTTGCCTCATGCATGTGGATCAAATACAAGGTCTCAGCTACTGTTTCAGAGCCAACGTAACCACACAGGGTCTGTCCCAGTACATGAGGTGCCCCCACATTCAGCTCAACCAACTGCCAGAGCTGGGAGGAATCTTTCAGACAGGGAGAGAGACACAAGTCCAAAGCTTCCCATAATGCTATGGAGGACTTGGGGCAGGCTTGCACATAAGGAACAGGATCTTTGCTGCAGCTCCTCTGTCTCTGAGAGAGCAATTGCTCAGTTTTGGTTGGCCTGGAATTAATTCACTAAAGAGAATTTGCAGGATTCTCTCTGCCTCCGATTCCAAAGTACCGTGTTGAAAGTACTGGATATAACTGTGCTTGGCAGGGTATGGCCTTCAAGCCAGGGGAGTCTGAGGAAACACAGGATACCCAGTCAAACAGGGATCTGCATAGCAATAGACCAGTTTTAGTGTGAGTGTATTCCAAACAGAGCATGGGACATACTTAAAGAAAACTGTATGTTGTTTGAAATACAATTCCTTCAAAATCCAGCTGATCTGATCTGAGAACATTCCCTTCCCTCCATGAAACACTGCCTTCTACTGACCCTGATGCACCATCTCCCTCTAGTTCTGAAGTGGTTCTGACGCGGTTATTATCACTCTGGTCTCCACAAGCAGCTGTTGTGGAGCTGACCTGTCCTCTTACGTCCTAGGCTTGACTGTCTAAGCACTGAACCTTAAGTGCCCGTGTTCACTGCCTCCCCTGGCACAGTAGTCAATAGGTCGCCATCAGTGGGTAGGTGACAGGAGCCTCTGGGCGCACCCGCAAACACACGCACAAGAGAGAACGAGAACACAGACACAGGTCACACGGGTGGACAGCCGTGTGACAGCGGAGTGAAAACTGCTTTCGGTGAAGGCCAGGTCACACCAAGAACATGCTCGAGTGTCCCAGCTTGGATGCTGGTTTTCGGCATGCACAGGGTGGCCCGTCAGTCCCTTAGCTGCTGCTGGACTTTGCCCTATAGTGCTTCACACATCACCACTCACAGACAAGCACACAGGTGAGGGTCAGCTGCTCCATTTGGCCTCCATTCACCGGGGCTTGCTCCGTGGCCACTCTTCTCTCCCCTCAACCATTCCATCTCTTCTCCTCACCCTGCTGCTATTATTTATTTATTTATTTATTTTGGTATTTTCGAGACAGGGTTTCTCTGAGTAGCCCTGGCTGTCCTGGAACTCACTCTGTAGACCAGGCTGGCCTTAAACTCAGAAATCTGCCTCTGCCTCCCAAGTGCTGGGATTAAAGGCGTGTGCCATCACTGCCCGGCTTATTTATTTATTTATTTATTTATTTATTTATTTACATCGAGACCTATTTGTTCTCTAGCCCAGGCTAGTCTTAAATTTACAGCAATCATCACGCCTCAAACTCCTAAGTGCTAGGATCTCTTCCTTGCACTCTGACACACATGTGATAACCATATGCGTGTACAGCATTTTACATTGTAAAGAGCTTTCTCGTTTACTGTTTTATTTCAACCTCCCCACAAGGCGGACAAATTGGCACCATTTTTTTTTTTTTTGAGATAAACAGGACAAGCTGAGTAGTTAAAGGGCCGGCTCAAAAAGTCACTGTTAAACAGATCTTAGCAGCAATGTCTAACTTTCTATTTAAATAGTGTTTAAAATGTCTTACATAGGCAATATAATAAGGAATATTTTCTCAAATAAAATCCGTCTCCGTATATGTTCAGGTCACTGTGCGACTCATAATGCGCCCAGATGCCCAACATTAAATTGCTCCCCAAAGTATCCCCCTTAGCTGTGTGGGGCTCCAAGCCCCAAGACTCCACTCAGTACCACATTCCTGGACTGGATGGAATTAAAAGAAGATAGGGACCCCGCGTCTAAAAGGAAGGGCTTGGGGCAAACAATAGGAAAAGCCTACTACTCATTCTTCATGGTAGTGCTGGCAAGCCGGCTCTGCCCATGCAGGGATCAGTGTGGGTGCCATTAGATAGCACTGGCAGGAGGTGGTGCTCTCTGAGCTGTCCCACACTGCTTAGCATGTGCATTTGTAAAAGAAAACCTTTGCTTGCTTGGTCACCACCAAAATGTAGCCAAGTGGAGTTTCCCTTTGGATAAAGCCAAGGGCTGGGGTACACCTCCTGCGGCTTGATCCCCCTCTACAGAGAGAACAAGTGCCCTTGGGCTACCCGCTAGGGCACTTGCTGATGTTCAGCACTGTGAGCAAGCTATTCTGCATGCTGCTCCCTCTGGCTGTTTAAATCAATGTCACCAAAGTCCAACCAAGGTGGCAGGGTGATCTGGGCTGAAGTTAGCAACAGCCCTGTATAATACGATGAGCACACCTCAAGCCACCAAATTCCACGAGGCCCAAAATGTTCCTGGAACCAAACCAAAGGAATCGCTGCAAAGGGTCCCAGCCGCGACTCACACGCATCCTGAGGAAATTGGTGTGGTGGGAGAGCCATTTGGGGGTGCTGCCACACCGTGGCCCCCGAGATATTCCCACCCACCACTCCTTTCCTCAGTTTTCGGCGGTGGAGTGCAGCTTCTCCACTCACACTTCCCGCACTTCACAAGGTCCTTTTCAACAAAACAACACAACTCCTTCCTCAGCACCCGCACCGGCCGGATCCGGGGCTACGCCCAGTCCGCCACCAGGCTTTGCGCACCCGGGAGCGCGCTCCTCGTACTCGCTTCCCAGCAGACACCCCTGCCTCTGTCCCAGACAGTCCCATAGCTCCACTAGAGTACGACCAAGATCCAATCTCGGGCTCTGCGGCCCAGCTTGGGCCCTGCCCCTCCCCCTCCCCAGCCTCCCGAAGGGACAGGAGGGACAGGACGGCGCGCGCGGGGTGTCCCGTGTTAACCGCCTAGGCGCCGCCGGAGTCTGGAGCTCCAGGGACCGGACTCACCGGAATGTGCACTCGCAGTGACCGCCTCTTCAGGCTAGGGTTCTTTTTGCCACTGCTCCCGCCAGGGCTGGAAACCTCTTTCTTCTTCTTGGTGTCCATGGCTGCGCTTCCCATAACTTTAGCTAGAAGTTAATTCCAGTGCCTCGTCCCCGGGGTTCGGTCCCCTCGCTGCCTCCCAGGGCTGCTGCCGTTACACTGGAGCCACGCGCTTTTTATGACTGTCCTCCCACCCTGAAAACACCTCGTGGGGACTTCCGCGGGAAGGGCGGGTGGCGCAGGTAACACGCGGGGCTCCACCCGAGGGGCTGGCGGACCGCGGAATGCCGGGTTGGAGCGTCCTCTTTCTCCTACGGAATCATCGGGTGCAGAGTCGCGGCCCGTGCTGCTTTTGGTTACGCGTGGCAGAAGTCTCGTGCAGGGTGATAAAGTTTTCCTCCTTCTGCAGAGCTAAGCAACATTTTCCACCTCTCGGCTCCTCCCACAGATTCCCAGAGGTAATCGGCCAGGCAGGTGCAATTAACAACAGCAATTTGGAAAACAGCCTTCCCGTGTCTGTGCCTCGATGGAAGCGGTGGCCGGAGACACTTAGTAGAGGAATGCATAACCCTGGGCCGCACGATAAAGCGGCAGGGAGCCTGGGACCCGGAGGGCCTCCTCTTTGGGCGAGAGGGAGGGCAGAGGGGGAAGAGGAGGTGCAAAGGCGAAGACTCGTCGCAATTGGGCTGGCGCGTGGCCGCAGGCTGGGTTCTGCGGGCCGAAGGGCGCGCCCCAGCCCCTAGGGGAGAATAGGGCAGGGCGCCCGCCTCGGGCGGCCTCTGAGCCGCGTCCCCCGGGACTCGGGGGACTGTGGGGGCCGGGCCTGGCACCAACGCAGGCTCCGGGAGCGCTGGGCGGTGGCAGGCGGCGCGCGCGTTGAACAGGAAGTGCGCGGCGTGCGGCGCCACTGTCCCACTCCACGCCGCCCACGCTGCCCCCGGTGGTCGCCGTGCACTCTCTGTCTCAAGGTAAGTGGGCTCGGGACTCGCCAGGAGCTGATTCCGATCCATCTGGTTTGGCAGTGTCTCTGTTTAGGTCCAACCCCCCGGAAACACACACCCACAGCCCGACCACGCCACGATAGAAGCCCCGGGTCTTAGTGGCTCGGGTGACCGCGCTCGTTTCGCGCAACGCTCCGCCCTACTGCGTGGGGACTCCCATTCCTGTCCAGAGCGGCCTGTGGTGGGGTGAGTGCAGGCTTTTCTCCACGACTTGGTTCTTTTCAGATTCATCAAAGATTGGGCAGCCAACCTTGATCTTCGGCAAAGGCGCTCTCATCTCAGTAAAAGCTGAAGTCCTAAGACCTCGGGAGGAAATGGATGCGTCGGAGCCTGAAACCAGAGCGAACACGCCACGTGCTCCCGGATCTTAAGAGCCACTGGCTGCAGATCAGGCACTGCGGGCTGCTCAGGGCCCTGGTGTTCCTCCCAGGCAGACCTTGGCTTCTGGTCTGAGTGAGGGGCATGCTTTCGCTCCTGCTCAGAATTAAAGACCAGATGACCCTAAAGATCACTCCAGCTCTTTGAAGCTAACATCAGCCCATCTGCTCCCTGTAATCAGTAATATACCGATGCTACCTATAGAATAAACGTGATAGGGGTCGCTTTGACAAAGACATGATGGGGGGTGGGGTGGCCATTACTCCTCTCCCTGCCCCTCTTCCTGCTCTCCTACCGTAAAGGATGTAGTTACAACTTTAAGACCATGATTTGGTGAAGGACCTATCTGTCCCATCGGAGACAACCTGGGTTCAGCTATCTCCTGGGTTTCCACATTACCAGCCAGTTCCTGCAAATTAGGTAAAGCCCTACAGTTGGGGGGGGAGAGGGGGAGTTCCTTGGTTCATCAGGTAGGTTGTATACTTCCTACTACCATGCTTTCAAACCAAGAACGAAGTACACCTCCTCCCTAGTGCCCCCCAACCAGTATCCCTAAGCAGCTTCTGGAGGGTCCTCTGAAAGAACCTGTCTCAGATCAACGCTCAAGTCTTGCCCTGTGTCACCACCCTTCTCCCCAACCTGGATCCTCACTAAAGAACTCCCAGAGACCCTAAAAGACATAATTCTACTGAGAGTTCAGATTGCTTCTTAGAAGCAGAAGTGAGGGGTTTGGAGGGTCGCATTATCAATGTCCAAGGAGGCCACCCTCAGCCACACACATACACACACAACCACCCCAGGATTGTCAAATGTTCTCTCTCTGTATCTTGAAATGTTCATCTCTTCATGATGGTGTGCCAGGATGCATAAGTGGTACCACGTGGTGAGAAAGAAGTGGCTTTGAAAGAAGCAGCCGTCAGAAGAGACAAGCAGACAGAGGGAAAGACCCTGAGGAGGGGTGCATATACTTCTATCACCACCTTCCCTTGGTGCGTGTGTGTGTGTGTGTGTGTGTGTGTGTGTGTGTGTGTTTGCCTGTGTTAGCTTGTGAATACCAGAGGCAGATTTTAGATATCTTCTTTAATCCTCTCTCAAACCTTGTTGTTGTTTTGCTTATTTGTTTTGTTTGTTTTGGGGTGGTTTGGTTTGGTTTTTCAAGACAGAGTTTTTCTGTGTAGCCCTGGCTGTCCTGGACACTCTGCCTCTCACATGCTGAGGTTAAAGGATTGAAATCTCTTGATTTTAGTTTTTGGAGTACAGACTTTGGGGCCTTGGAATCCTAAATCTAAATATTTGGACTTGAGATGGCTCAGTGTATAAAAGTACTTGCAGGCAAGCCTGACTACCTGAGTTAAATCCCCAGAACCCATGTGAATGGCTGTGTGTAGTGATGTACATCTGTAATCCCAGCACCCGTATCAGCCAGTACAGAGTGCACCAGCAGTAATGAGAGAGACTCCGCTTCAAAACAGCAAGGCGGAAGGAGAGAACTGATTCCTGAAAAGCCTGAAAAGTTGTCCTTTGACTGCCACATGAGGGCCATGGCGCGTATGTGCGCATGCACACGTGCACGCACACACCACACACACACACACACCTTTTAACAGCACATACTGCTCTTGTAGAAGACCCAGGTTCAGTTCTCAGCACCACATGCCAGTCAAGAAGCAAAATGTCAAGAGTGTAAGAGTTAAGATGAAGTTGATATGGTAGTACATGTCTGGCTTCAGCTACTGGGGAATTGGGTTAAGCTCACTAGTTCAAGACCAACCTAGGAAACTGAGGAGATGTAGGGAGGGAGGGGAAGAGAGGGGAAGTGAGAAGAGAGGAGAAGGGAAGGGAGGGGAGGGGGGAGATTTCCCTTCTAGAGTTTAGGAAAGGAACATTAATAGTCTAATTTCACTTAGTCTGGCCTCTCTCCACTCCGCATTATTTTTTCATGTTGCCTATGAATACCCCCATTTAAATGATGGTGACTTTAAACATCACGGGTCACCTTTATGATCACAGAGAACATAGAAGCCCTCATGGATCCAAAATCCACTTCTGCCTTGTGCCCTGGATGAGTATAAATTAGAAGGTGTCTTCGTAATCTATAGATGATTGTGTTTGGTGATGTCCCATACTTACTGCCACTAGAAACCATGTTGGGAACTGGACGGTTAATAAGCCTGCCCCCCCCCAACCCTGTGTGTATGTGTGTGCACGGGCACGTGCTAGGATTATAGCCTGTGCCAGCACACCGCGTATGACATTTCCCCCAACCTCAGGAACCAGCATTCTGATCACAGCCGACATGCCCAGCACTGTGGTAGACTTCATGTTAATGATCTAATGTCTATCAAAGTCTTCTGAAAGAACTGTTTCAAGCACTTTGCAGACCAAGGCGGCCAAAGAAAGCCTGGCTGCTGGCTCATGTTTGTGCTCACTTAACATCTGTTGGTTGTTATTGTTGTGTGGCTTTGGGACAACAACAACAACAAAAAAGCTGGCCTCTTCTATTTTAAAACCTTTATACATACACACACAAAACAAAAACAAAAACCACCTTTACACCAGATTACAAAACTCTAGGAAATGTCTCTAGGGTGACCTTGGGCAAACTGCATCTCGGTTGCCATGTTCTCCTGGCCTGTGACACAGTTGGTGAGGACAATTACCTGTGTGTTTAGAACACAGTGATTTGATTCTGTGCAAAAGGAAACCCTTGGAGACTGAAGTAACTCAGGGCTTCTATGATTGCTGTGGCAACGTATTGCTCGCCCTACTGAGGTGTCTTTATCTAATGTCAACCAAGACCGGGATGCTTCTCTACTCATTTTAAGCATGAGAGCTGATGGTGTAATCTCACTGTGGCTTCTGCTCTCGGAATCAAAGGGAGGTGGTGAGCCTCTGCAGACGTGGAGAAGGGCCCAGGAGGAGTGGAAACTCTACCTTGGAGTGACCTATCTCTTGAATGTCCCTCTGAGCCTGCTTTATTTTCCAGGGAACCTGTGCTAGCCACCTCCACTGTACACACCAGACTTCCCTTCATCATAAAGCCAATTAGCCACAGGGGATCCCAACGGTGAAATCCAGGGGGCTTGGAATAAGGTAAAGGTGAACTCTGTAGCCATGTCCTGTCTTCTCTTCAGAGAACAGCCAGGATGCTGACAGCTCAGTGTCTACGTCCACACTCAGCACTTCTCCAGTGACAGAGTCAGCAAGCAGGGCTCATGTGGCCTGAAATGTGTCTGTCTGCTAAATGAAAGCAGAGATTATCCCAACAGTTACACTCCAATGAAGGGCAACGTTCCCAATGCTAGCTGAGAATAAAGACCCAATTCCCCAGTAGCTGCCTTCGGGATTTCTACTCAGGATGTGAGATGTTTTGTTTTAGGGGGTTTTTTGTTGTTGATGATGGTTTGTTTTCTATCTTTTCTTTCTTTAGGGTGGATGCATGTCACAGCACTAGTGTAAAGATCAGGATAACTATAGAATCAGTTCCCTCCTTCCCCCTTTGCATGGGTTCTCGAGACTGGACTCATGTGGCCAGCCAATGTGGCACCATGTGCCTGTTACCCACTGAGCCATCTTGCTGGCCCATTCTAGTGATCCATTCTCGCCTCCCATTGGGCAGAAAGGCTCGGATTCAAGTAGTAAATGTTCATCCTCCATTTAGCTGTGAGATTTGAGTATGCAGAAAGTAGATAGAAGAACCCTGAGAAACTGTGATTCTCACTGTTCCCTGAATACGTTTCATGACTGTTTCTGACCTCTCATTCACCTGCCTGGAGGTACACAGTGAAATAATACATATTAATCATGATAATTTCCTCGGCAAATAAAGTTGCCTTGGTAATTAACCCTGGGTGGGTTGAAGTTCCTATACAAATCTGACCCATCTTATATGTCAGCAGCTCTGGCTTGTAGCCAGCATCTAGGCATGGACTCTAGAACACCAGTGAAGTCTTTTCAATGAGAAAATGAAGGGGGAAAATTAATGTATGTGCTGTCACTGTCCTTGGTGTGGGAGGCATGAGGTAAATGGAGTGATTGTACACAGGACTTAGAACCCTTGACCTCTAAGCCTCACAGGAAAGGACAAGTACCATCTGGGCCCTCAGAGGGAGACTGTTCCTCCAAGAAGGGCTGGACCAAACGCTGAGTCCAACCCATGCACAAGCTTGCCAGAGTCCATGCCTGCCCTTGTCCCTTAGTACTTGATACCATAATCAATCAGTATCCATTTGCCAGGCAGACAAATCCCACAGTGATACTCAGTCCAAGGACTCTTGGGGTACAGGGCACCTCAAGGACTTGGTGGGTGTTGACAACTCTCCTTATGCCATGTGGGTCAAAAGCTACTTTATGAAATCTCCCTAAATAGAACTCTGGAGAATCTTATGAGGTCTTGGGAGACTGGAGAAGAGGAACTTTCCAAGCACTGGGCTTGGATGAGGTTCCTGTAAATATCAGCCACACCCACAAGGCTGCAGACCTTTCTACCAAAGGCCTTGTTGTTTTCTAGCTTGGCTTATCACAGCCTTTTACCTTCTAAGTTAAAAAAAAAAAGCATAGCCTGTTAGCATCTCTTCTAGGCTCCGCCCCACAGTTACCTGGCAACAGCCCGGTGTGCCTGACTCAGTATAAAAGGGGCTGCTTGCCCCCTCCTCACTCTCTTGCCCTCTTACTGTCTTCCCCCCCTTCCCCTACTGTCTCTTCTCTCCTCATTCCCCTCGCCCCTCTCTCTCCACGAGTTCATAGCCAGCCTCTACTCCTCTTCTCTCCTTCTCCTCCCTCTCCCTCTCCCTTACCCACTCCCCCTCCCCTTCCCCTCCCCCTCTCTGCCTTTGTCTCTACTACCCCCTCAACTCCCCTCTCCATGCCCTAAATAAACTCTATTCCATACTATATCTGTGGTTTGCCTGGTACCTCATGGGGAAAGGATGCCTCACCATAGGCCCCAGAAACACACACCCCCCAGCACCATACCATGCCTCTACCAAACATATCCCTCCCTTCTCTTTCTTTTTTTATAAAACAGAACAATAACAACAAAGCTCTTGTCCGGCCCACTTGTATGCAAGGACATTTTCTTCTACTATGGGACTTGTTCACCCGTGACTCAAAGGCTTCCCAGAATTTTAGGTGGAAGGGTAAAGATGCTCAGGCTGGGGGAGGGATGTGTGTGTGTGTCTACAGGGTTCACTGCCAACACACAGTGTGCGTGCAAAGGGATAGAGACTTCATTATGGG